CCGACTTCAAAAACGCCGCACCCCAGGCTCTTCAGGGGTCCGCCCCCAAGATGACGGGAAACCATGATGGCTGCTTTGGAAAGAAGCTGGACCGCATCGGTGCCCACAGCGGCCTGGGCTGCAACAGTGAGTCCCCAGCCCAGTGCCCTGGCCACAGTGCCATGCTCCCAAGGGTGCCCTGTCAGAATCGTTTCTGGGCTTGTGGTCTCCGAGGGGAGGGCTGCTGGCCGTCACGCCTCTTGCTGACAGTCCTTATGGGCAAGGGGTGACTTTCTGGAAAGAAGCAAATACTCTTCCTATCATGCCCACCCGTCCCCGCCACCTGCTCGCCACCTCCTGCCTCTCGTCAAAAAGGGCACAGTCATCTTCGGCTGCAGAAATTCCTCCCGGGGGCAGAAAGTCCTGAACATTTCTCTTGGTGTTTCCTAAACTGTCTGTAGCTGCGAAGGCACGGGGCAGGGTTACCAGGGCATCTCACCCAGCTGGCCGATGAGGAGACTGAGCCCTGAGCAGATTATTCTAAAGGCTCAAGCATTCAGATCAGCTGAAGGATGGGTGGGGAGGCGGCAGATGGTGGGGGAGGCTCTGGGTAGGGGAAGCGCTGATCCTGCCTGTTCACCTACCTGGCTAACCTTGTCCTCTCTCCTCCCCACCCCACAGCACTGGGGAAGAATCCCAAGAAAATGTAATCAACCTGATCCCCGTGGACACGACTCCTATTTATTTGTTCTGACCTTCTAGCACAAATTTTCCCTGGCAAAATAAAATTCAATATTCCACATGGTTTTCCTTTTGAAGCAAGTTGTCTCTCTGCCTCGACAATTTCTAAAACAAAGGGCCCCAAGGGAGTCTTACTATCCCACTGGGGTGGGAACGTGGGCTCAAGGTGGGAACTGGCTTGCTTTACTCACAGGGGTTTTTCAGGTTCTGAAATCTTTATAAATACTTCAGTCGCTTGAGGTTCTTCACAGAACCTGCTCTTGGAAGCCCTGCGCCTTCTCCCCAGGGCTGGAGGGGTCCTGATATGTTCAAGAAACTCGAGGATTTGGCTCAGGTGTTACCCGGCTTTCTCCTGATGCCATTAGAGGCTCTGTCGCTGCTGTTGCCATTTCCAGAAGGTCTAAGCTAAAAATCTCAGAGATTGGGGCACACCTTGTACGTGTGTGTGTGCGCGCGCGTGTGTGTACATGTCAGGACACACTGGCTCATCTGCATCCCTGAATGGGGTGAGCCCTCCGTCCTGCCTACTCCCCCCTTTCAGACCTTGGGTTCCTGACATCACCCTGGAAAGGAGACTTTGTAATCCTGAGTTTTAAAACATGTTCATGTGTAACAAGAGGCTCAGCATTTCAGGGTGCCCCTCTGTGAAAACCTGGCCCCTCCCATCATCGCTTCCTCTCTGCCCCAGAGAGAGAAGCAGGAGCGGACAGGGCCCCCGAGACTGCCTGAGTCGCCAGGGCCTCCTGGGGGTTGGGTCCCTTCCTGCCTCCTGCCTGCCAGACTCCTGCATCCTACATTCCCAGCACCCCTACGCCATACGTCTTCTGTTTTTCAGTTTCCCGGGGCTCAGCTCATGTGTTTGCCTTGCCCAGAAAGCCTTTGACTTAGCTCAATGGGAGGGTTATTTTTTAGCCCCATTTTATGGATACAGGAACAATGAAGTCCTACCTGTGGCTGGCAGCTCAGCCGCCGCGAGGCCGTGGGCGCCTCTCCTGCCCTGGCACTGTGTCGCCCCAGTCGCCCCCTTAGGGAACCGGAAGTGGCGGCTTCTGCTCTCCTTTAACCCCTGCGCATCAGAGCTGATGGAGACCTCATGGGGTCAATTTAGTGTAGAAAGCCTTCAGGAGCAAGTCATTTTCCCATAGAACTGCGAGCTGGTTCATCCCATGTTTGTACAGGGAGGGCACTGGGTGGTTTGAATGATTTTCCCAATTTTCTTTTTTAAGAGTGATTTATTTATGCACACAAGAACCGGGGTACAGGCCAGAAGTGCAGGGGGTGAGAGGATTCGCCAGAGACAGAGTGGGGAGCAGAACAGGCAGATCCACTGAAATCCACTGCTGAGGGAGCAGCAACGGGTCAGGAGAGGTCTGCTGCGCCCTGTGGGTCACTCCCTGGCTGGGGATCGAACTCGTGTTGAAGCAGCTGCAGACAGCTTCATAGTGCTGTGCGTTAACCCATTGTGCCATCAGGGAGGGCCCAAAGCCTCATTTTCAAAGTAGAAACTACCATCCTTAAATATGTCCCCCCAGTTCTCACCACCAGGGTTTCTGCTTTAGGAAACTTTGGGTCTGACAGAGTCGCATGATGATTGCCTGGGTTTGTCCTTCCAGTTCTGGGTGCGCATGACATCACTGGGCTGCTCAGATCTTCAAAGCAGCCATGGCAACCCACGGAAGGTCATGACCTCAAATTCTGGGTAGGAAAATGGAGAGACCCAGATGGAGGTTTCTCTCAGCCAACCAGGGGTCGAGCCATCACGTGGCCAAGACAACTGCTTCCCAGAGCTGAGGAAATAAAGGCTTTTTTTTTTAAAGACTTATTTATTCATATAGAACTGGGGTACAAGCCAGAGATGCGGAGGGTGAGAGGATTCACCAGAGACAGAGCGGGGAGCAGAACAGGCAGATCGACGAAGTACACTGCTGAGGGGAGCAGCGGGCGGGTCAGGAGAGGTCTGCTGTGCCATGTGGTCACCTTTTGGGCAGGTGGGGATCGAACTCATGCGGAAGTGGCTTTAGATTCTCAGTGCTGTGCTTTAACCCGCTGCGCCACCAGGGAGGGCCATAAAGGCTTTTCTTTTTCAACTAGTGGGAGAGGACGGGTGGGAGCTGGGTCTGGTTTTCTGTGCCTTTTGTTTTTCTTCTCTCTCACTCCTACAGGCCAGCTTCTAAACACCACATTAAATATTAACCCCTCCACTTGCACCCCCAAAGTTAAATAGGGGTATAGAAATGAAGAGAAACTATGTCAAGCTTTATTCCACTCCAGGTTCACATCAAAAACTTTCATGGATCAAAGTCATTGGTGCATTTGGGGTTCAGCTGCGTTCACTGCGTCCCCTGCGGGCAGGAGGTGGGGTGGTTCTGTCCAAAGGCCTCAGGGCAGCACATCCAAATATTCTATTTTGTTCCACTTTCCTTCTGCAAAAACAGCAACAAAAAAAAGCCCGAGGGAAAAGCAGAAACTCAACAAATGACACCCCCCCCCCACTCTGGTTCATCTCTGGAAGAGAAAGTGACTAATAAAAGAAGCAGTGCGTTCTGAACCTCGTTTCCGGAACACTGCATGGGACATCCGCTTCCCTGCGGCCCCCCGCGGGCTGCAGAAATGACTCAGGACAGAGGTGCTGCCTGGCTGAGAGCCCCCTGCCGCCCCGCCCTTCAAACCTCCACCCCTCCAAAGGTCAGTCTCAAAGGGCATCTCCAGGAGGCAGCCTGTGTGACGCAGGCGGCAAGGAGGCCGCCATGGGGTGCTCACTGAGTCTCTGCTAATAATAACCCTGCCAACCGAGTAATTAAGCTGTGAGCACATTCCAGCGTGGCAGCAGGCGCTGACGATTCTGCCTTCAAGCTCCTACTCAGACCTGCACCCATTTCTGATTCCAGTAGCGCTTGGCCGACCCAGCTAAATCACCACAGAGCGCTCTTAGGATACCTGCTGCCCCCCCACCCCCGCCACGCCTCTCATCTCGTGACCACGCTGCGCCCCGATCTCTGTCTTGGCGCAGAATGGCTGACGGGCTGTGACGGCCAGGCTGGTGCTGGTTTCCCCAGATTCACTCCCTGGGCTTCTGTGGTGAAGGGCTGTGGCTGGGGTTCAGGGGGCCCTTCCCTTGAGACTGTTTCCCGCCCTTTGTTCCCACCCGCAATTCTACAGCTCATCACACTTCGAAATTCTTCCTGATCGTTCCAGGCTCCTTTGAGAGGCAGCTGAGCAGTTTCATATTTTCCCTCAATTCACAGATGAGTAAGATAAGCCCGATTCACAGATGAGTAAGATAAGTAAGAAGGCCACAGATTTTTGGGGTACCGTGCCTGTCTCAGCCCTCCAAAAGCCCCGTTGCCCCCATGCATCTGGCGCTCGGCAGCATGTTAACGCCGAAGCCAGCGCACAGGCTGCAGGTGCAAAGCTTTGCCGCCTCGTTTCTCTTTGGGGGGCAGGAAAACGGGGGCCTCAGAGGCTCATTACTTTCCTGGTCCAGAAAAAACTCACGGACGGCGTTGAGGGAGACTGCACGCCTGGTTCGCACCCCACTCCCTCCACAGCCAGCTCGTCAGGGCAGCTTTCCTGGGAAGACGAGGGGACATGACAGCTGAATTCTTGGGACATTCATCACATTTGGTTCCAGGTTGATTGAATGCCCTGAAAAAATAACTCCCTCTTCACCCGCTGTCTGCGGGTCTGTGCCAGGATTGAGGGCAGCTCCTCCGGGGTGAGTCAGGTGTGAGGTCAGCTCCAGCATCTGGACTAATTTGTCCTGAGCTGCTGGCGGCTTGTCATTTCCTCCTGTCCCGCCCTTATTTGGAGTCCCCGACAGCTGAGCTGCGATCCAGCCGGGGTGGGGGGCGTGGGGGGGGCTGGGCACCAGCCAAGTGGCCCCACTGCTGCGCTGCCTCGGTCCAGTTGCTGAGGAGAGCGGAGCATGAGGCATCGCCGGGAGATAACCAAGGACTCTTTTTTGCTCTCCTCACACCTTTGAAGTGGGAGCCTCTTGAGGCAAATCAACAAGAATGTGGCTCTTGCAGCTGAGGACGGGGGTTGCTGTGGCTGCTGCAGGCGAGGGCCTATGACGAGCTCCCCAGGACTGATAACTTTAAAAGGGCATCATCTGCTCGTTCCTCACTCAGCTGCTTTATCGCTGCAAGTGACAGAATGGGGAGGGTTTCAACCCTCTTGTGCTGCCGGAGCGCTGGGGGGCTATAAAAAGAGGAGGCGCAGGGCAGCTGGGAGACAGCAACGGACAAAGGCCCAGAGAGGGAACCAGAGGGGACTGCTCCTTGACCGCCGCCAGGATGCACTTCTCCGCCATCTCTGTGAGCTTCCTCCTCTTCGTGGTGGCTCAGCTCTCGGGGCCAAGTGGAGCTAACCCCGTGTACGGCTCCGTGTCCAGCGCAGACCTGATGGATTTCAAGGTAGGAGGAGGAGAAGGGCCGCCGTCTGGGACTGGGGCTCAGGGGCTCTGTGCCAGTCAGGGCGACGGCTCCTTCTCTCTGTTTTCCCTTTGTAAAGAATTTGCTGGACCATCTGGAAGACAAGATGCCTTTAGAAGAGGAGGCTGTGCCCCCACAAGTACTAAGGGAGCAGAATGAAGAAGCTGGGGCGGCTCTCAGCTCCCTCCCTGAGGTGCCTTCCTGGACTGGGGAGGTCAGCCCAGGCCAGAGAGATGGGGGTGTCCTGGGCCAGGGCCCCTGGGACTCCTCCGATAGGTCTGCCCTCCTGAAGAGCAAGCTGAGGGCCCTGCTCGCTGCCCCTCGGAGCTTGCGGAGGTCCAGCTGCTTCGGGGGCAGGATGGACAGGATTGGAGCCCAGAGTGGACTGGGCTGCAACAGCTTCCGGGTAAGAAGAACTGGGGGGTGGAAATGGGGTGGGGAAGAAGGAAGGTGTAGTTTCACTGAGGTGTCAAAAAATACCACCGAGGCCAGCCTCAGCAGAGTAGAAGTTGACTCCTTTTAAAGCTTCTGCCCCAACTGGGTGGGTGCCATGAGTCTCAGGACAGTGATGCCATTCTCAGCTACTAGAGTGTTCTAATGGATAAGAAAGTTACTGCCGCTGGGAACTTACAGGACCACAGGGCCAAGTTCTCTCTGTACTGTTGACTGGCAGTCCACATCCCTCCTCTCCCCAGAATCCAGAAATCCCAGAGGACTAGATGAAACTGACCAGGGCTGACCTTACTGGCTTCTATTGAGTAACTCCTGTACCATTTCAAGAAACCCGGGGGGTCATCAGGCTGCCGTGGAGACTGGTGGAAAGCTTGACTTTTCCAGTGCAACCAGTCGCCAACCCGAACTTGTCTGTGTTCTCTTTGTAGTACCGAAGATAATGACCAGGGAGAAAAAGGTGGACCAGGCCCTGGGCAGACTTCGAGGGACTCTCATGCCCTGGGTCTCTCATTTGATCTCACTGCCCATGGAACTGGTTGTGAGGAGCAACCGATTCAAGCTGCAGCCTCCTGTCAAGAATTTTCACATTTTATGCTACATGTAGTAAAGTGGTTTAATTGTGGCTTCTCCACCTCTTCCACCTACGCATTAAATGTTAGGGAAGACCCTCACCTGTTACTGAAAGCAGTTTGAAACATGAATAAACTTCAGCACCATGGACAGAAGACAATGGCTCGGGTTGGTGTGATTTCTTTTGTACCAGGGAAGAGAATTCAGCCTGATACAACTTTTCATTTTACCTTTTGCTAGAGAAGCATGTTCCCTTTCTTTTACCTCCTTTTAAAAATAATTAGTAAGCTTTCTTTTTCAGAGCAGCTTTAGGCCATGAAACTTAGTAATAACCCCGTGTCCCACTCTGCACAGGGACTTCCCATGTGTACCCCGCCCCAACCTGCACATCTCACCCACTATCAACATCCCCACCAGAGGGGAGCATTTAAAAACTTCTAGTAAAGGATAGATGGTTTCATTTAATTTCAAACATTCAAAATGCTGGGAGAATCACACTGTGAGAAAACCAAGTGAACCCTGGGCCCAGATCCATCAAGCGCAGATTGGAACATTTGTGTTTCCGTGACCCTGTGGGCTTGACAAATTCCTCCTTTCCTTCCTTCCTCCCCTTCTATTTTCCTTGAGGTGGTGTTAGGGCTCAAGCTGAAGTTCTTAATCTTCTGACTTCACTCCAGGACATCAAAAGCCCTAGGAGACAGCAAAATAATTTATATTTTACTTAGGTTTGACCAAAGTGAGAGCATTAGAAACTCACAGATATCAGATTTTTTTTTTTTTGCACACCTAGGACTTTGGTTAGTTATTTTTTGAGGCATATTTATAAAATGAGAACATTAAATTTTCTGTTACATCTTGAGAGTTGGTTATACAGCTGAGTGAAGTCGTTTTAGGAAGAGAAAGAACAATGTTTTGGGTTTAAAAGCTGAACAAAGTGAAGACAGTAATGTTTGCTCTGTTGACAAACTGCAAGTTTATGGGCTTGGGGGTTCTGGTGCATGTTTGAAAAATAGCCATCATTTCCCTAAGTCAGGCTTGCAGCTTTTTTGAGGGGGGAACCACTGGGCAAGACCATTTCCTTGTACCATGTAAAAAGGCTGTTGACTCAGGCAGGAAGTAGCCAGCACTAAGTAGACCCACAACCGAAAGTATTACTCTTCCCCACCTCTGGACCCCCATCCTCGCTCTCCATATCATACTCTGACACCCCTCCAACACTCCCTTCACTTACACGCTTGGTTCTCTGGCACTTGATGTGGTTCCTTCCACCTGGAGTTCCCCTTACCCAGTGCTCCTGAGAACATTCTATTCATTTCTCAAGGTTCATTGTTAAGTCATCTCTTCCAGGAAGGCTTCCCTGATACAACATGCCCAGCACAAATGAAGATCTACTAGCAGCATTCTCTACCTACCACATGACACAATCTGCCCTGGAATGCAGTTGTGTCTCTCTGGTGCCCTTTCAGTAACCCCTGAAGCGCACAGTAGAACTGATACTGTTTTCTTGTACAGAAACTGGGAAAAGAGGAAATAGGGTAGCAACTTGCTCCTTGTAGAGAGAAGGGGAGTGTGAGCAGAGAATTGATGGTTAGGGAGTGGAGCAGGGAAAAGAACTCTAACCACTTCCACTAAAAATGTCCTTAAGTGCACTTTGAACATAGAAAGGCAGAAAACCAAGAAGCAGAGTGACTAACAAGGGCAGAGTTGGACAGGAAGAAGTGTTTGCCCAAACCTGGCTCTTGAGTGCCAGTGCTGGGAAGTGGGAGTAGCAAGGAGGGGAGATTGGCGAGGTGGGCACATTCCTGGGGTGTCCCTGTGACAGTGGGCCCTGATGGGCCAGCCTGGAAGGTGCCAAACACACAGGGCAGAAAATGCCCCTGGAGCTGGGAGGGAATTTGATAGGTGGAAGGCTCTGCGCGATTAACTGAGATCACTTCCGCCATGGGGCTGGGGGTGGGTGGGCGGGTAGCTTAGCAGCTCAGTGAAGTCTCCACTCTGGTAAAACCAAAGGTGAACAAGCAGCCACGTCAATGGCACCATGAGGCCGGCCCCAGGGTCTAACAGACTCAGCGCTGCCATCATTCCTCCTGGCTGGACATGACGTGAAGCTTGACAGGGCCCGCTCCCAGCACCATGTGCCAGGGACACAAACGGATGACTGTTCAGCTGGTGTGGGGGAGCCGCAGCTGATGTGGGGGGTGCTCAGCCTAGGAAGGAGGCCAGTAAACAAGGTCTCGGTGTTCATTCGAAGGCAGAAAGAGGAAGGTGTGACTCTGTGATTTTTGCTAAGACCCACAGAGCTGAGCTGGTTCTGATCACTAAGGAGAGAGGCCCCAGGAAGCATTCCTCTGGGAGAGATGTGGATGGAGGGATGAGGCCACAAAGCTACCCTTGAGTTTTGTGAGTTTTCCAGAAAAAGAGGGAGTAAAATCAAAGCCCAGGAAGTGGCAAGACAAAAGGCCAGAGGAGATGTGACAACATTTTATTCTGACATGTTATGGTTGCGAGAACCTCCAAGTTCCAAAGTTCAAATAAAAATAGAATTATACAAATAAAAAAAAATACAATTTATATCCACGGTGGAATTAGCGAACATCACTGTAGAAATGACCAGCGCAAACAGGTGGGGGAGCAGTGGCTGGGAGCCAGCCGCGAGTCCACGGGGTTCTGGGCAATGCTGGGGTCACGGGGCGCCATCCAGACCCCCCAGGGCCGTGGGAGCAGCTCTCCCTCGTTGGAGAAGCCAGGTCGTGCGAGCTCCATTCAAGCCGGGAACCTCAGACCAACAAGATCATGAGCACATTAGCCCCAGAGCACAAAGGGCCCACTCAAGACAGGTCTCTGCCCCTACCCCCAATCGCCACCTCGGATGCCAGGCTGAAGACGAAACCCAGAACCCTTCCGCCAGCCCCGGAGCCCCCTCTGTGGGGTTTATCTATGGCGGTGATGTCACCAGGGGCCGGGCGGCTGGAGGTGAAGAGTTGGAAATGTGTTCCGACGAAGTCAAAGGCGCGAAGCTTCCAGTGATTTTGTTACAGCAGTTGTCTTTGGGCTGGTCTGGAATGGGCAGAGGACAGCAGAGGACAGGAAGTGTGCCTTTCCTGGCCTGGTCCTCCTTGGCCTGCAGTTGGGCCAGGGGAGGGGTGAAGCTGCGGCTGGTGACCCCACCCTGGAGGCTGCTGTCCTGGTTGGGGGTGGATCTTCCCCCACAGGCTTCTGGTTCTGCAGCTCCGGGGGTTGGGGGGTGAGAGATGTCAGCATCTGCGGTGCTTTAGCCATTGGTCCCCTTTTTAACACAGGAAGAAAGAATGTGGCCCAGTTCTGAGCGCTCCCTGAAACTCAGTGGCAGGGAAATGAACACACGAGACGAGACGCAGGAGAGGAAGGGCGAGGTGAACGCACGGGCCAGTGAGGGAAGCCTTTTGTGTGGGCTCCTAGGGGCTGGCACTGGCCGGCCACTCGTGGGCAGCTGTGACCCGTCTGACCTATCTGCTCTCCACAAGTCTCAGCCGAACATTCCTTGCCCTGCGGAGCACAGCCCGGGCCGCCGGGCAGATGGGGCCGCCCAGGCCGCTGCCGACCTGTTACGTGATGTTTCCTTGGCGCGGCTGTCTCGGATACGCCTGTGATAGCATCACACTTTGCTGACACAATGTCTTTTGATGTTTGGCCACGATGTCCCCTTCCCTGTCCCTCGTAAAACTGTCCCCATTTCGACCCACCCTTGGGCCTAGCCTCACAGCACTGCTGCATGAGCAGCTTTACCAGCCCAGGGGCTTTCGGTCAGTGGCACAAGAACTTCTGCCCAGGGAGCAGAGTCTGGCAAACCTGCACACGAGACTCTGTCCCTTTTTCATGCCAGGTAGCAAAGTTTCTTTTGCAACAAAAAAGGCGCCCAGACAGGGACGTAAACCCCGGATGTTCAGCTATACAAAGCTTTATTTACTTTTAACGTCTTGAATTTCAACTGCTCTGGCCTACAGCTGTTGACCGTTTCTCCTAACTCTCCGGTCTTGTGGCAGAAAACACCATCTTATCTCCGCAGAGCCAGGCCCTAGGCCTTGCCTGTCACCCCCTGCAGGGACCAGCTGGGCTGGGACCTGTAGGTGGTTTTCCATGGGGCCAGAGGCTATGTTCCCCCACCGATGGGCCCTCTCAGGCTCCAGTGAAAGCAGGGCGCCCCTCTCATGGGCTGGCAGCAAGGACGCACCGATCCTACCCAGAGCTCCAGCTGTTGGTGACTCGACAGCCACCGGGATGACCCCTCCCCATCGACTGCACAGTCCCCCGGGGCTTGCTTCCATGCCCGGCCTGTGGACAGCAGTGAGCCCTCTGGACTCCACCTCCCCGCAGCGGGACGCAGCGCATGGGTGCCCATCTCCAGCCACGCAGCTGCTGCCAGGCGTGCCCCCTGCCAGACCACTCTTCACCGCCCCCCCACCCGCTTCCTCTCGCTCATGTAATACAAAGGGGGGAAATGGGGGCTCCTAGGGGCTGGCACTGGCCGGCCACTCGTGGGCAGCTGTGACCCGTCTGACCTATCTGCTCTCCACAAGTCTCAGCCGAACATTCCTTGCCCTGCGGAGCACAGCCCGGGCCGCCGGGCAGATGGGGCCGCCCAGGCCGCTGCCGACCTGTTACGTGATGTTTCCATGGCGCGGCTGTCTCGGATACGCCTGTGATAGCATCACACTTTGCTGACACAATGTCTTTTGATGTTTGGCCACGATGTCCCCTTCCCTGTCCCTCGTAAAACTGTCCCCATTTCGACCCACCCTCGGGCCTTATTCCTCAGCACTGTCACATGAGCAGCTTTACCAGCCCGGGCAGTGGCACAAGAACTTCTGCTCGAGGGGTGGAGTCTGGCAAACCTGCACACGAGACTCTTGTCCCTCCTCACGTCTGGCCACAAAGCAGCAGCAAAGTTCGGTTGCAACATTTCTGGTCCTTGGGATTTCCCCAGCTATTTACTGTTTTATCCACATTTTGCATTCAAGTGCACCCAAGATGCAGAGACATGTAGAAGTCAAAATAATTTTTGTCAAGATGATAAGTGGAAAGGGTGGAGGGTCAGCTCCCGCAGAAGCCCCTCCCCAGTGTGCCTGGCCCCCACCCAGGGGAGAAAAGGGTGCTTTAGGGACAGCCCCCCTCAGGCACCTTCCATGGTAAAATCCCCTGGGAATGAGTGAGCGCCCCCAGGCCCCGAAACACCCGCTTGTGTCTCAGATGCCGAAAGAGTGCAGAGTGCTCACAGAGGGCAGGAAAAGAAGTGAAATGCCTGATACCCCAATACAGCCTACTGGGGGAGGGGAGAGACCAAGCGGTCTGGAGGGAAACAGAGTCACTGAAGGACAGAGGGAGGTGGCCTGTGTTTGATGCCGGCACCTCAGCCATGCGCTGGCAGGAAGCCTCCCCGGCTCAGCCCTGGCAGCAGTGCAGATCTGCCTGAAGGCCCCAGGTCTGGGCCCCCCGGGGTGAGCCCACCTGCAGCCTGGAGAGGCCGCGGGGGAGAGCGAGGGGTGTCTGTGAAGGGCAGACCCCCGGTCCTCCAATGGCCCGCCTGCTTTACCGGGACTCTTGCTTTCAAGCCGCACCACGTACCTTTTAGGGACCCCCTTTCCATCTCATAAAGCCCTGTCCCATTTCCCGAGCAAGCGAAGCGGTTTTATCTAGGAATGACCTGCTTTTAGGTGGCTGAGAGGGTGAAGCCAAGGTCCTCTGGGCTGTGGCTGCTTCCCTGGGAAGACAGAGGTCAGACTTTAGGAAGGTTTAGGGGTTCAGTAGGGAGGGCAAGCCAGGCAATGTCGGGTTGGCCGTGAGTGGGGAAGGCAGGAAGCTGCAGGGTTAGAAGTTAGGCCAGGAGCCCACCAGCCCCTTGTTTGGAGAAGGTCAGCGGCGTGTGGGCGCTTTGTGCTTCCAGGGGTGTGGCTCTAAGGAAACTCAGATGGTGTGGGGGAGCCCAGGAAGCCAGTTCTCACCCAGGAGGCAAGAGCCTCCCTAAAACCCACTGCCAGAGAAGTGAGAACCCCAAGACTGAACATGTTTCTGGGGCCAGTTCGTAAAACGAGACGGTCACCGACTTTGCAACTGGCCCCCGTGCGTCTGCACGGCCCGAGCCCCGCCCCTTGTGATTTAAGGCAACAGCTGGGTCCCCAGGAAGCAGCGAAGCGGGGACAGGAAACTGCGCTGGGGCCACCCTCCCTCTGAGCTGAGCTCCCCTCTAGTCCTGGCAGGCCAGGGGAGGGGCCGGTGCCAACACTGGCTGGTAGGGATGGGGGGCGGGAGGGGTGCCCCTGCAGAGTCAGACAAGCCCCCACTCTGGGGACGCCCACACCGTCCCCAGGCCTCGCGCCAGCGCGCAGGACCGCAGCTCTCTAGGGAGGGGGTGGCTGAATCTCGGGTGCCCGGAGCAGCCCGGCCTCCGGGGCAGCAGAGGGCAAGCGGCCGGCC